TTGACAAATTTTGACCGATCATTGCATAATTGTATTAATTAATTTTTTTAAGGTAGCAAATCATTGGAGCGAAAAAAAAATTTTGGTTTTGACAAAAATGCCAACAGTTCCACCACCGGCGGTGATAACGATACGTTAGCAAATTGTTGCGTAAGTAAAACAGTTGGCAATTATCCAATATCCACTATTCAATGACGTTTTGGTGTTCGGTACTGACCAAAGTTCAATGTTTTGCATAAATTATGTCAAATGTTTATCCATTTTAACAACCAATTTGATCTTTTTTCTTCTGTATTCTAATAACCAAAGTTTTTGATAGCTGAAAAATAAGAAGGAAAAATAGGTTACTGTTTAGATGTATAAATACATACAAAAATTAGAAAAAGAAGGCGATATAAATCGGCAGTATGAAATTGCAGACTTAATTGGTCAAGGAAATTTTTCTAGCGTATATTTGGTTGTTCGAAAATTGGATGAAAAAGAATTTGCGCTTAAAGTAAGTGTATCAATTCTTGATTGAATAGTGAAATAAACTTGATGGAGGAAAGAAAATGTTGGCAGAACTAAAAAAATTTGTTGAACAAGAAAATCTTTCTTCAATTATATACCTAAATAACGGCAATAAAAAATGATCAATTTTTTAAACTCACTTTTTAAACTTTTTTATTTTTTTTCGAATAATGCAACACAACATTAATGCAACTGAAGTTCAGTGTTATTGTATAAGTGTGAATATTTTATGTTTCATCGGCTTTGTTGAAAACTTTGAAAATCAGTTATTTTTTTGACAGAAAATTTACAAAAAAGAATTAAATGGTGCACAGTACTTGGTGGAAAATGAGGTGGAAATTTTACGTAGAATATTACACAAAAATATTTGCCACTTATTTGGCGCATATGAATCAAAAAGATCGTATTTTTTGCTGTTTGAATACGTTGAAAGAGGTGATCTGTTTGAAACATTATCTGCTGTTGGAACACTTGAAGAAAATTTATCATCAAAAATAATTGCACAGGTATGGTGTTGTATTGTATTTGTCTTGATTATCTTAGTGCGAACAAAAATTTTCGCTTACTTTTTACTGCTGTTTAGGTAATACTTTATTTAACTTTAAAAATAAACAGAACTTTTGCGCAAAAAAAGAAAGTTTCATTTAAGGCCGCTGCAGCATTAAGCTACTTACACGAACAACAAATTGTACATCGAGATGTAAAACCGGAAAATCTGCTTTTAACTACAGATTTTTTGGTGAAACTTACAGATTTTGGATTAGCCTGCAGTGCCAAAAAACCACTGTATCGCATCTGTGGAACACCAAGTTATATAGCACCAGAAATCTTGAAACGAACTGGTCAGTATTTACACAAAAAAGCTGACAAAAATTTTTCAAACTTTTCAGATTATACGAATAAATCAGCAAAAGCTGTTTAATAGAAAATTGTTTTATACCAGAACTTATATACCAAAATTTTATATCGAAATATAACGATTCTTTGAAACGTATTCAAAATTATCATTAGAGCTGTTTATTTTCAACATTTTTTTCTTGGTTCTTGTAGGCTATGGTGTTGCAGTAGATGTTTGGTCGTTGGGTATTATACTTTATCAGATGCTTCTTGGACATACCCCCTTCAAGTGTTCAAGCCGATATCGACTTTTTCGAATGATAATGAATGCTGATTTGACGTTTCTTGGCTCTGAATGGAGCAATATTTCTGAAGGTCTGCTTTTCACGATCAATCTTTCTAGCAACTTTTCTTTTTGTAAGGAATTTTCTAGAAAAATGTAACTATTTAGGTTCTTCAGTTTGCAAATGTACACTAATAACTTTGACTAGCAGCTGACTATTAATTGTCAAATTATTTCATCCGTTATTCTTTTTGAACCTTTCATACTGTATTAAAAAAGTTTCACTTGTTCAGGTGCCGTATCGTTACTGAGTAAAATGCTGATAACAGATACGACAAAACGTTACACGGCGTCACAGATTCTTTCACATCACTGGTTTACAATGTTCGTAAAAAAACCATTGTGTTTGTAGAAAAGCCAAAAAACCAACTAATCAGTTTTTTTGTCAATTCTTTGAGAAAACCCAATTGATTACTGTTTTGTTTAAATCAGAAATTTTACTTTTACCTTAAAACAGTTGTTAGTTGTTCAAAAAATTTTTTTTATTATTTTAAAAAAGATAACAAATTTTTTCGCAGCAGTTTTGTTGTTTTACATCTTTTTTTTGGCTGTTTATTTATTATTTTTTTTTTTACATAAAAAACAAAACAAATTACTGTCTTTCCTTCGTCTGTAACTGTTACACTTTGTTTATTGAATGCCTTCTAATGTATTATATACAAATCTCTTGTTATTTATAAAATCTCTTGTTATTTATATTATTGTTGCCGATCAAATGAGAAGAAAAAAGAAGAAAATATATTTTTTGCAAAACTATTTCAAAAAATTCTGGGTATTTTAGTGCGTAACCATAAGCAAATATTAAAATTTGCAGGAAATATCACAGTCTTCATATATTTGTACCAAAAAAAATTTTTTTGCAATGTAAAATTTTTATATTTTATAAAAGTCATACAAATAAGAAAAAAAGAACACTTTATCGCACTGTAATAGAATCCTAATGAATTTTGCAATTTAAACTATTCTTTATAGTTAAATAAACAGAGCAGAAAAGTGTTTAGGTAATAGGTTAACATATTTACTATAAAGTACTTTTGATAAGTGTAAAAAAAGAAGATTTGCATAGGAACACAATAGACAAAGACAAATTTTCTGAGCGTATAATTCCTATTTGTTGCCTAATCCAGTTTGTTTTTTGATATATTCTGATACCAAATTATAAGGTCTCATTTCATAGTCCAAATAATCAGAATGTTCCACTTGAACCTGATCTCCTTTCATCCGATCCAATATAGTAGTACATACAATAGCAGCTAAACAAGAAAAAAAAAAGGTTTTTTTTTTGGAACAGATAACAGTGTAATATCAGAAAGTAGATTTATCGTTAAAAACTGTACAAAAAAAAGTTGATTACCGACTATTTGCTGACAGTATATCAATGTCAAAATAAAGAAAGTAAACAACAAAAGTTCTAATAATACTACTGACCCAATAATAAACAAAGAAATTTTATAAAAGTTAAGAATAAATAATGCTAAGGATAGAAATAAATGTTTTTTTTTTCGCAGTTTTTTGTCAAATATCTTTTATAAAGTTATCATAAATAATATTTTGATTCGACAATTATGACCAACTTTTTTCTTTTTTTAAATTAGATACTTTTTTTGAAAATTCAAATAAAAGTTTACACGAATGACTTTATCGCACAGTCTTTGGCATAAAAATCTATAAGTTTTAAGGCTTTGTCTACAAATGTTACTTTTTATTACCTATTGAATGGCATATAGTTTGCGCTTATTAGTCAGTTTTTAAGCTGTATAAAGATGTTGAAAAGACAAAAGAAAACAATAGATTACCCTTAATGCCAGCACGGTGTGTCATTGCAGAAAAACAAGTGGCTTCCATTTCAATGTTACGAACCCCTTTGGAGTGCAATTCATTCAAAAAATCAAATTTATCCTTTTCTGTATAATCGCAAAATGCTCCATCAAGTCTTGATTGACCTATATTAAAACTTTTTTTTTTGCTTTTAAGTATTATTTCTGAGTCAGTTTGTTAATATGTAGCAAGAAAAAAAATGCTGCTTTTCAAAGCACGCTTTATGCATCATTTTTTTATTTCAATTATTTTAAAATTTTCTGATTAAACACGAAATAAATAGTGGTAACAAAAACCTAAAACTTTTTTTTTTTTTTTTTTTTACCTTCATAGAAATCATCAGCGCACATTGTTTTACCAGTTGCAACTGGCATATTTAGTTCTTTACCCAAATTATACAAATCGTTCCATAACTGCTCATCAAATATAGCCGGTCTCAATACCTGCATATAACTGCTTTTTTTTCACAATACTGTATTAATTAAACAGTAAATTGTCAAAATTAGTTTGTAAATTAATGTGAGTTAAACATAAAAATTTTATAGCTAAATTTTTTGGTTAAAAATTATTCGCTGTATTCGGGAATATAGCGATAACATATAGTAAACAGTGCATAAAATTAACCTTTTTTCCTCTGATATACTGAATATGAAACTCTTGAACTTCACCATTTACTGCACCATTAGAAATTACCACTGTACCTGGTGGTACACCTAAGCCACCAGAGGTACCTAGTCGAATAAAAGTTACATTTTTTGCATTTGCATAGTGTAATAGTTTGATGGTTTCAACAAGCATAATACTAAGTGATGCTGCGCCAATTCCATGCTAAAAATAAACAAGAAAAGTACCAAGAAACTATCTCTTATGAGAGTTTAGTAGTTTTTTGACAACGTATCAAAACATTGATCAAATAAACAACACTAACGTACACTTTCTATTATTTCTATTTTTATTTATTTACAACATTTATTGAATGTTTAAAAGACAATAAATTTAATAATTATGGAAATTCATAATGGTTTGTTTGACAAGACGCCTGTGTAAACTTACACTAATCCATAACACAGGCCCTGTCTTATAGAGCACATAACGATCGGTTTGCGATAAATTTTTGCCAACTTCTAGTCCCAAATCTTTGGCAAATTTTTCAGCATATAACGTCAAACGAGCTGGACTACCACCACAGCAAACAAATCTGAAAGTAAATTGCAAACAAAAAAGAATAAGAATAAAGAATAGCAGAGACAAATAGTATTTTTAGTTTGTCAATATACCGTTAAAAATTTTTCCATTATAACTGTTATGCAAACAAAATCACTTAAAAAAAAACAGTTAACAAAAATCAGCAGTTTTTTATTCTTTTTTCTCGTTTTTTTTT